GTTAGCTGGAGGACAGAATGGTCCTTATCACTGGGGAGGGGAGGGGAGAGGCCTGCCATGATTTGTATGCTTTTCCATAGCCAAGAGAGGATGGAAACTGGGCATAGAACTAAGATTGTGCACTTATGTGCTTATGAATCGCCATTCATTTTAGGAATGTGCAGATGTGACACATATGAAGAAGCCTTATGTGAGTAAACTGTCTTGCAGATTGTGGAGTAAGATTTAAAATAAAAATAGAGGGATATTGGGTGTAAGGATCAGGAGAAAGTTGATTCAGTTTGCATTTAAAGATGAACCTATCTAATCTGCACATTCCAAAGCAATGCACAAACTAAAGCACAGGCATCCTTCAAAATTCACATGTCTCTGAATTTTACAGTGCGGTTCTCTAGCCAAGTAATATGTACAAGTGGGCATATACTAAAGTGTGCATAACATCAAAAATGCATTATGTTATGGAAATTTGTGTTGCAAAAATGAGTATATTAGGCAAAACTGCATACAAAAATCTGTCTGCTAGGAGAAATTCACACTAAAATGCTGGTGGATTTTCATGAGGACATTAAAAAAATATCAGCTGATGTGGAAATTTAGAGAACTGAACAATCGTGGAAAAATGAAAAATGGAAAGAATGAAATTGACAAACTTGCCCATCCCTACTTCTTGTAGCTGTATATGCAGTGCAGAGAAAGAACGTGTCCCTGTTACAGAACAGATTTCATAGATGGGACTGAAGAAAGGATTGACTGGTGGGACAAAGTGCTGGAAGCCAGTGTAGTCTAGTGTAGTGGGCAGTGCCAGGCATACAGTCAGCAGACCTAGATATATACCTCAGTCTAACAACAAGGAATAATATGCTTTCAGTTTTTCAGTGAAAATGTCTCAGCAGCTGCTTCTCTGGCTGCTAAGTGGGGCCAGGCTGGTTTTCCATCCTTCCTGGAGATGCAACGGATACAACTTCCAGGGGCCCTTGGACCCCTGGACAATAGCAGAGGCCAGAAGATGCTTCCCTCTTGCTCCTCAGTCCAGGCCAGCTCTGAACAGATTGCAAGAATACGAAGTGAAACAAACAAAACAACCAAGCATCCCTTTGAGGTATGATGGATGGAGGCATGCAGCTAGCATGGGCTACTGCTCCCTTCAGCAATCCCAGGGGAACCAGCAGCTGGAACCAAATGGTCTATCTGACAGGGAGAGGGGCAAAGAAAGTTACCTGCAGGTGCTCCTCCAATGACTGGGACCAGGAGGTGTTCCCCTGATTCTGATGTTTTTTCCTGGGAAGCCGGGTGTTCAGCCTTCAAGTAGCCCTTAGCCCCCCAGTCAATGGATGGGGCTTCCCACTAAAGTTACAATGAACAGCATTGTAACAGCACTTTTAGTATGAACAGCACTTTTGGAAACTTGCAGTGCTATATAAGCCACAGGAACGGAAGAAGTGTTAACATAGAATTGGGAAATGGCAGAAACCCCATTCAGGCACCATACTTACGTGTAACACCAACACATGAGCAAGGAGCGGGGTTGTGCTGACCTGGCATATAGTGTGAACATTTACAGGAAAGGATAGACCAAATTTTGCAGGTCCAGCTATATAACAAGAAGTCTTCAGTGCAACATGGGTTGCTGGCTGTGTGAAAACCTTTGTGTTTATAACTGTACAGACAAAAGTCCATACCTTCAAGATGTAGGAAGCTGCCTTATAGCAAAGTTGGACCACTGGTCCATTAGCTTGGTTCTGTCTGCACTGATTCACAGTGGCTCTCAAAAGTTAAGTCAGGGGGATGTTTTCCCACCTAGAGCTGATGATGATTGAACCAGCACCCTTCTGCATGCAAAGCAGATGCTCTACCATTGAGCTAGCTACAGCGCTTCCCTGCATGCACAGATGCTGTTGGGGAGACATACTCATTAAGTGCAACACCAGGAGTCAGACTACTCATGTGTTGGTTCTACAGACAGGTATAGTACCTGAATAGGGCTGGAGCCCAGCACAAAACCTTCATGCTTAGACTGTAATGTGCATATAACAATAGCCCTGAGCAGGTTTTCTTCAGGAACTAGACCAGGATGTGGAAGTGTTCTACACATTTGTCTTCACTGCTGTCACAACCACTGAGAGCTGGTAATTTATGCCTACAGGCAAGCACTCTGGCCACTTGCTAACCATGCACAGCCATGTGGAGAAATGCAGTGTGATCCAGCAACACACTGATAAGTTGGCAGCAACCCCTGTCCTTATGGCATCATTCCCCCCAACCCCGTCTCTGTATTTGTTCTGTGTTAGCATGTATGTATGTGTAAAGTCACAAATATTTGTATATTTATATTCTGTTTAAAAATTAATAATATCAATGGAAATCTACCACTTGAGTTAGAAGTTACACTTTTTTCCATCTCATTTAATGCAAAGTTGGGGCATTTGCATTGGATTATTTTATAGTTTGGCGACACAGGGAGGGCTTTATTCCTACTGTTCAGACAGCAGTTTACTTTGAGGGCGTTGGGCTCTGCTGTCTGCCTGAGCCTATAGATATTTTTTAGTTAATTGAGATCACTGAAGATTAGGGATACTGTGAATATCCGTTCCAACACAGAGCAGTCTCCAGTGCACATCACTGTCCATTGCAGGCATCCTGTATCTGGCACACTAACAGCAGTAGCTAAAGGCTTGTTAACAGAGTGTGAGACATCTCATTGTCTTTGTTCTTCAGACTAGGAGTGAGATGGGAGCGAGGAGGAGAGGAAGATAATTTGGCTTCTTTCAGATGAGGAATGTAGCGCTTGTAAGCCAAATAAAACTTTGCAAATAAAAAGAATAATCCTAGCATCTGACCCATTTATTATTGATAGATGTGATCTTGCAGACACCCACAAGGAGATAACTGCTGTGTTAGCCTTGGAATGAGCTCCTTGTTCGTGATTACACAAGTTTTGTTACATGCGGATTGTACCATATTTCCTCTGAAACGAAGAAACATGGCCTGTAAGTCTGCCAGACGCTAGCAGCCTTCCTCTCTGAGAGCCACTGAGAATTGTCATCTTGGAATGCAGCACTGCCATCTGGGGGATGAAAAGCCAACAGCTAAGCTGCAGGCTTGGAAGCCAACATTCACAACACACACACACAGCCTGGATCATATGCTCCTCCTAAACTGTGCGTGAATCAACAATATCCCCCCTCCCCCGAGTATTGCATCTTCAAAGGGATAACATTATATTCCACTTAGATAGAGGAGGATTCCCTCCATCCTACCCCCCTGCTTCCAAAAGCATAAGTGAAGTCTTGCCTTTTTCATGTTTCTGGCATTTAGTGGCAAGCTAAGCCCCCTGTAATGAATTCCATCTCACTCCTTGAAAATACTATATTATTCCCTCTTTGTGCAATTATACCAGTAAACAAGGGCAGAGGTGATTTGCTGAACCCAGCTAAAAATGGCTCTGACACCTCCAGCCCTGCAGTCTTTTGAAACTCATAACAAATAATAATGCAGAAATTACCATACCCTTATCTCTTGACATCCAACGGAGCTCATTGTCGCATCCTTTACTGATTGCATTTATTTTGCAGGAAATAAAAGCCCTGTAAACAAGAGCTCTCTCTTCCCCACCCCACAGCAGAGGGCTGACAGTCCCATTTTGCTCACTGATCAAGAAGTTAGGAGCTCTCTCTTCCAAAGCAATGCTTTACCCCCTCATTTCGCCTGTACTAGTTGCAGGTTGAGTGTTCAGGAGACCTTTTGAAAACTGGGTTGTAGTACCTAGCTAAGCTTTTATATATTAAAAGAAACTTCTCCATGTTTGCCGTAGCTGTCAAAAATACACATATACTGATGTGTTTAAGTTCAGCACTTCAGAATTACAGGATCCATGTCATAGAATCATTGAATTTTGATCATGGAAGGGACTCTGAGGGTCATCTAGTCCAACCCCCTGCAATGCAGGAATCTCAACTAAAGCATCCATGACAGGTGGCCATCCAATATCTGCTTAAAAACCTCCCATGAAGGAGACTCCACAACCTCCTGAGGGAGTCTACTCCTCTTTGTGAAGGGAACATTGTGTTGGTTGATCCAACTTACTTGACAAAGGGTTTTGATAAAGAGCAAAGACTTCTGCATCTGTGCAGTGCCCTGCTATAAGGAATCCTAAGCTGCCTAAACTCTGCTAAAAAGTTTTATGAACATGGGGCAAATGCATGATGATGATGATGATGATGATGATGATGATGATATGGTGCCATCAATATGTCTGGTGCCCTACAGAATTACATAGGCACTACTAGTGCAAGTGGGAAGCCCTGATGACCTAATGAGAAACCCTGTGCTGGCTTCTGCTATCATACTGGGTTGGCTGAATCTGGCACCAGAGGGTGATCTTCTGAAGCAGGAGGACTCCTGTACTTGTGGGAGACTCCCTGCATGTTTTAGAAATGTGGAAAATACCAAATACAGAAGGCTCTCTTTGTCTTCCGTGAGTTGGAAGGAGACAGGAATAGCAACTGGGGGCGGGAACAGTGATGATAGAACTAGTGTACTTGTCTGTATACATAATGAATACAGTATACAAAATGTGCCTTAAGAGAGCTATAGATACGGCTCTAATCCCACCAAAGAAGCTTATAATGTAAAATAAACAGCAGGGAAGTGTGTGTTCTATGTTAGAGTCAGCAGGATGGATGCGTAACTTAAGTGTGTGTATGTAAGTTAGCTGAGGGGTATGTTGAGCTGGAGAAGTGGAAGTAACAGGCATGGATATACTGGGGAATAGGATGAAAAACAGGGTGGGGGGCAAGGCCCATATTGGAAAGGGGGTTAATTAGTTGCAGTACCTATTCTTGCCTGGTTTACCTACTTCTGTGAAGCCTTTCAGTGCCACTAAAGGGTTAATAGTCCTGTAAAGGTGGTTTGGAGAGGCTTATGGCTTCTTGAAATGAGCCACACCTGGACTTCCTCCTGGAGCTTTCCCCCTCAGTGATAGCATAGATTACAGCATATTTTGTGCCTGGGCTCACCTGGGCAGGGTGATCACCCTGGTGGTGTCTTTCAGAATGCTTTTGCAGCAGAGCTGGAAACCAAAACCTCAAGTGAATTATGCCTAAGAGAGGTCAGTTTATTTTATTCTTTCCAGTTAAGGGGTAGGGGAGAGCTGTTGAATTGTGTAATATAATTACAAGGTGTGCTATAGTCTGCCCACCTCTTTTTGTAGGTTCTCTCTGTTTCTTATCATTAAGTTTGATTGTTCGTTGGTGGTTTCTTTATCTGTTTATACTGATGCCATTTATATCAATTATCTAGCTTATTTTGAGTTTTTAGCTCATTGTAATGCTTTGTAACTTGTCATATGAACAATGCAAAGTGTAACTTGGTTGTCCCTTATTATTTTTATTGTCTTTCTAGGGATATGGCATTTTTTAGTTTCATTGGTATATTTCATAGAAACAGATTGTAATAGAGCTTTCTATGTTTTACATTGTATGGATCTATATCTAAAGGGGTTGGGCTCCACAAGCATATTTCTGGGTACTTGGAGGCTTCTTGCACTGGTTCCTCCCTGTTCTTCCTTTCCAGTAGTCCCTCATGAGTCATGAACTATGGAGTCAGTCGGTAACTTTGCTCCATTTGCATTCCTCCAACCCTTAGTTTTCCCTCCGCAGTATAAGCTTACTACCATTTGAATTTTTCCCATTAGCTCCTTAGATGTAGTCAGATTGTTATTTTTCTCTCTCCTGCCGAACATTGTAAAGCAAGCGAAAATAGACCAACATAATTATGTTTTTCAAATCTTAAAACGTTGAGCAACACTTTGGTACTTTATCATATAGCGTGTTCTCCCTAACAGAGAGCACGTGTTGCGGTTGGGGAGCAGGCCGCCCAGCCATGACTAGGCAAATTAATCTGCAACCCTGGCCTTTAGGGTTAATTGGGTTGCTGGGGCAAATTGATTGTTACCAATTGGGAGGAGGAGTCAGAAGTTATAAATAGAAGGGCCAGACTTAGGGACGTCCTCTTGGCCGTTTTGGATCGGATCAGGAGCTGCTCGGAGCTGGTTGTATACTCGCTTGCTTTCGTTTTCATAGGGCCTACCTTTGAATTCGAGTTTTTCCTTGTCTTTCACCCCTGGTTTAATTAATTTATCCTTCCCTCCTATTATCCTTCTCATTTAATTCTTCCTTCCCCTTCTCCCCCCTTCCCTTCCTTCCCCCCCTATTTGGATACTTACCCTCTTTATATTTCCTTAATTTTAATTGGCTAGGGCTTTGATTTAAATAGCACAGGCTGAGGGTGGGTACCCCCCCAGCCTGCCAGGGCCTGCCTTCGGGCTGGGCACCCGGTTTGCAAGCCGCCAGGGCCTTCCCTTAAACCTCCCCCTCCCCGGCCGGTGGTTTTGCCGGGGCCGGGGCTGTGAGTGTGCAGGCCGGCGGTAAGGGCACTCGGCGAACCGCTCGGGCCTCACTGAGGCCCGGCGCCTTGAGGGCTCTCCCCGGTAAAGAAGAAAAATAGCTGCCTTACCTGCTGCGGCTCCCGCGCGCCGACGAAGGTCGGGCCGGTTTTCGCGGCCGCTCCGCGGGGCCGCCGCAGCGCCTGCCTTGTGGGGGGTGCCTCCTTCGGGCCTCTGAAGAGCGTGGGTGACGCGGCGGGGGAAGTTATCCCCGCCGTTTGCATTGCTGCGAGCGGCGCGGCGGCACGAGCGGCCTCACGGGGCCGTTGGCCTGGGTGGCGGTAGCGCTGCGGGAGACAGCGCGGCGGTACCGAGGGCTGGCCTTCTTTTGTGGCGGTTGCCCTCCTCCGCGTTAAATTAACGTGCGGGCCGCTTCCCGGGACCGGGAGCGGCAGCCCACGCTTGCGCCCGCCATTTTCTTTGCAAGCTGACTGCGCTCTGCTGTTGGGGTTTATTTTATTCTGCTCGTTGCTTAGCTGCTCCCCCTGGTGGCCAGGCAAGGTTACTGCGGCTGGGTCTTTGTGCTGGAGCTCCCCCTGGTGGCTCAGTGCAGTGTTGCAACCCTTTGCATGAGCTGGGGATTAGCGAGCGCCACCTGCTGGAGGAAAGGAGTAACTGCACCCCTTGTTTTATGTTATTTATCACGGAAAAATAAATAATAGAATAAATAAATTAATTAAACAGGAATAATAATAAATAAATAAGATTGGATTTTCAGTTGTTAATAGATAGATAGATAGATAGATAGATAGATAGATTATAAATAGATAATTCAGACATCTATTCTAGTGCATTTATTATTTAATTTTCCATCAGCTGACGTGCTGTTTACAGCTTACGCATCACTGTTTGCGGCCAGCAGTGACGTCTGGCTGCGGAAATTGTTAATTCTCATTTGATTATAATAGCAGGTATGGCTCCTAAGAAAGTCACGGTCCGTCCCGGCTCAGCCCCTGTTGCAAAACGGCCTATCAGAGGTCCATCGCAGGCGCTTCGCTCTCCCACCCTGAGTCAACCGGCAGGACGAGTGCAATCGATGGTGGACAGTATGGCGGGCGATCCAGTAGCCTTATCTCGCTTCACAGCCGAAATGGATGGTTTCCTTCAACAGTGTTCTGCTCAGCCTTCCGCGTCTAGAAGGCGTCAGCGTCCAGTCATGGCGCCATCCCCAGCGTCACCGTCGTCTAGTGACGAGGAGAGAGATGGCTCATCACCCGGGGGTTTGATGATTGATTCTCAGATAGCACATCCCTGCGACTTACCTGCTGCCCGTGGCCGTTCTCGGAGGCCATGCCGTTCCTCTGGGAGGGCGGCGAGGGGGAAAACCCCTTTGGTAGCTTCCACCCGCCGGGCTGCGCTCACTCAGCCTTCGGATGAGGTGGCCTCAGGTTCCGGGATCTCACCTGTTGTTTCTCCTCGCTTAGCTTCAGGTGCGTCACAGCTGAGCCCTGATTACGGGTCTTCCATGGATGACAGTCTATCAATTCCTGCCAGGGAGTCTTCGGGCGGTAAACGTCGCTCCAGGAGGTCCTCACTGAAGCGTGTCAGCCAGAGGAGGAGCGGATCATCATCTTCTTATACTGCCCCAGGTCCTTCTCGGCAGGATCCTGATTCCGAGTCCTCCATTGAAGACAGCTTGCCAGTGCCTCCCAGACGGTCGTCAGGTGGAAAGCGTCGCCGCAGGAGATCTTCGCGGAGGCGCGCAAAACGGAGAAGGGACGACTCGTCGTCCTCTTATACCGGTACGTCTTCCTCTAGTTCTGATGGTGAGACTGATAGTTCTATGGAACTTTACTGGGGCTATGGGGAAGCGGCCTCTGGACTCCCGAGGTGGGCTTGGGAACGTCGGGCTAACACGCATCGGGCCAGGTATGGGGCAGTACAGGAATGTAAAGATGGCGTATTGGTACCTGACGTTAAGGTCTCTACCAATTCCGCCAGGGACGTCATCCCAGGTTCACATTTGTCGTCCAAGCTGAGGGCTAGGATTCTAAATGGCCGTTATGTCGAGATGTTTAAGTTGGCTCCTCCTTCGGAGGACCAGGAGAGGCCGAGCTCTTCAAGGAAGCGCTCTGGTGTGTCCAGTGCAGACAGGACATTCGAACGTTGGCTCGATTGTTTCCAAGTCTTTGCTGGAGTGGTCATGGCGGCTTATCCGCGGAGATCTCTTCATTTGTTAGTTTACCTATCTATTGTTCGCTCTGCTTTCACCAAAGCTGGTGAAAAAGCGGCGATCAAATATGATGAGAATTTCAGGCGCAGGGCGGCTAAGATTCCCTCGGCCCGATGGGATCGTAAAGATCTTGATGTGTGGACCACTTATGTGGCTCCACTCATTGAGAAAAAGGCGCCAGAGCAACAGAGAATGAGGCCAGGGGCCTTTAAGACCGCACGTCGCCTTCTTTGCTGGGACTTTAATAAGGGTTCCTGTCAGCGCCAGGGGTGCAAATTCGCTCACATGTGCGAAAGGTGCAACGGTTTGCACGCCGCTTCCTCCTGTTATGCTGGTCGTCGGCCCTTTCGCGGAGGAAAAGGGGGTTCTCAACAAACCCCCAAAGCAACGCCCCCTGCTTCAACCTCGGGAACAGGAAAATAATGTGTTGACTTCCTTGGCTTTCACACCCGTTCGCCTGCCAGTCTTGCAAAGTTGGTTACAATTCTACCCCAATAGGGAGGCTGCTTGCTATTTGAGTAATGGTTTTTCGTTAGGTTTTCGGATTCCAGTAGCCATGTCTCCCATGGCACGTAATCCTGCTAATCAGAAATCAGTTCGTGAGCTACCTCTGGTTGCTCGCAAGAAGATAGAAAAAGAAGTGACCATGCTGCGCATGGCCGGTCCTTTTAGCGAACCTCCGTTTCATAATTTGCATGTATCCCCATTGGGTATCGTGCCAAAAAAGGCCCCTGGTGAATTTCGACTAATTCATAATTTGTCACATCCTAAGGGTACGTCAGTTAACGATGTTATTCCTCCGGAGCTATGCTCCGTGAAGTACGCCTCCCTTGATCAGGCGGTCAAGATGATTCGGAAATTTGGACAGGCTGCGTTATTGGCAAAATGCGACATCGAATCGGCTTTTCGCCTTTTGCCAATTCATCCGGAGGATTTCTGGTTGCTAGGTTTTAAGTTTGAGGGCAACTATTATTTTGATAAAGCTATGCCTATGGGATGTTCAATTGCATGTGCTGCTTTTGAATCTTTTAGCACTTTTTTGGAATGGGCCCTTAAGTCTAAGACAGGAAGGGGCGGAGTCACGCATTATTTGGATGATTTTTATTGGCCTCGGCTGGTGATACGGACGATTGCTTATTGCTACTGCAAGCGTTTGCTGACATCACCCAGGAACTTGGGGTTCCCCTTGCCGCGGACAAGACCGAGGGTCCTTCCACTCGGCTTACTTATCTGGGTATCCTTTTGGATACAGTTGCTCAAACTTCTAGCTTGCCGAGTGACAAGCTGGTGGCGTTGAGAAAGATTATAGAAGAATTGCTCCCTTTAAAGAAAGTGTCTCTTAGGCAAATCCAGTCACTGTTAGGGCACCTGAACTTCGCTTGCAGAGTGGTGGCTCCTGGGCGTCCTTTCTGTTCTCGCCTAGCTCGACTCACTTCAGGTTTGAAGGCTCCACATCATCGGGTGCGCCTTTCTAGTGAAGTGAGGGCTGATC